GTACACTCGCTGACCAACCAGCAGCCAGAGCCGCAACACCTGCGGAGGTGCTGAGCCAATCAGAGCCCAGCGCAGCGCAACCTGTGGAACTCACCCGGCCAATCAGCTCGCAGAGCACCTGTCCCTGCAGCCAATCAGAACGCAGCGGGCCCTGCCCGGCCCAGCTGTGGTTGTGCAATGGGGACAGCGGCGACAGCGGGGACAGTGGGGGACAGCGGGGACTCACCCAGGCCAGGCACCCCCACCCAGCGCCCCAGGGGCACCCCCAGCCCTGGGCACCCCGAGGTGGCACCTTTGGGGTGCCCCATGTCCCTGAGCACCCCAGTGTGGCACCTTGGGGTCACCCCCATCCCTGAGCACCCCAGTGTGGCACCTTGGGGTCACCCCATCCCTGCGCACCCACCGCTGCCCTTTGGGGTCACTCACAGCCCCGGGCGCACCAATTTGGGGTCACCCCCATCCCTGCGCACCCCACCGTGGCACCTTGGGGACCGCCACACCCCGATGCGACACCTCGGGGTCACCCCCGAGCCCCCCGGGCTGTCCCCCCCTTCCCACGGGGACCGTCCCCCCTTTTCCGGGATCCCGCCGCTCTCACGGCGCCCCCACAACGTGGGGGGGGACCCCAAAATCCGCCTCCCCCTCACTCCCCGCTCCACGCCGAGCGTCCCTCGGGTGTCCCTCGGGTGTCCCCGGGTCCCCAGGGCCGGTACCTGTCGCCGGGGGTGGCCGCGGCCATCCATGGCCCCGCAGCCGTGCGAGCGGCGCCGGCGCAGCGCGGCCGGAACGGGGTGTGGGGTGCGGGGAGGGGGTGCTTAGGGGGGCCCCCCCCTTTTTGTCACCGCTGCCGCTTGTGCAAAGCCACCAAAAAAGCCCCAGAGCTCAGGAAATGCCATGTCACCCGCGGCCCCAACGGCGCTTCCTGCCCCGCTGCGGGCTCCGCTCGGGGACACCGAGCCCGCCTGGGGACACCGAGCCCGCCCGGGGACACCGAGCCCGCCCGGGGACACCGAGCCCACTCAGGGACACCGAGCCCGCCCGGGGACACCGAGCCCGCCCGGGGACACCGAACCCACTCAGGGACACCGAGCCCGCCCGGGGACACCGCGGTGGCCCCGGCGTCCCCATCCCCGCGCCCCCGGGATGTCCCCGAGCCCGCGGTGGTTTATCCCCGAATTCCCTGCAAATCCAACCCCAAATCCCGCCCGCGTGTTGAGTCCGCCCCGGAATTCCCGGGGCACCCACCGGGAGCTGCAGCCCCGAATTCCCGGCGGGACCTCCCGCAGCCGCTGCCCCGGAATTCCCGGTGCGCCCACCTGGAGCTGCTGCTCCAAAATTCCCGGGGCGCCCACGCGGAGCCGCATCCCGAAGCCGGAGCTGGGCTCCCGGAATTCCCGCTGCGCCCACCGGAGCGGCGGTGCCCGAGCTCCCGGTGCCGCTCCCGGTGGCGGTGTCACCCGCGGAGCCGTCGCAGCCGGTTCCCGGCTGGCAGAGCCGGTTCGGCCGCTTCTGGGCTCGGCCGGCGCGGAGCCGCCTGGGAGCGCCCGGGATCCCAGCCGGGAATCCGAACCGGGAATGGCAGACCGGGAAGGACAGACCGGGAATGTCTAACCGGGAATCCGAACCGGGAATGCCCAGTGCGGAATGCCCAGCCGGGAATGCCCAGCCGGGAAACCGAACCGGGAATGTCAGACCGGGAATGCCCAGCCGTGAACGCCAGACCTGAATCCGACCCGGGAATCCGAACCGGGAATGTCAGACCGGGAATGTCAGACCCGGGATCCGAACCGGGAATGGCCAGCCCGGAATGTCGAACCGGGAATCCCAACCGGGAAGGACAGACCGGGAATGTCTAACCGGGAATCCGAACCGGGAATGCCCAGCCGTGAACGCCAGACCTGAATCCGACCCGGGAATCCGACCCGGGAATGGCCGAACCGGGAATGGCCGAACCGGGAATGGCCAGGCCGGAATGTCGAACCGGGAATGTCAGACCGGGAATGTCAGACCCGGGATCCGAACCGGGAATGGCCAGCCCGGAATGTCGAACCGGGAATCCCAAACCAGGAATGCCCAACCGGGAATGTCAGACCGGGAATGCCCAGCCGTGAACGCCAGACCTGAATCCGACCCGGGAATCCGAACCGGGAATGTCAGACCGGGAATGTCAGACCCGGGATCCGAACCGGGAATGGCCAGCCCGGAATGCCCAACCGGGAAGGACAGACCGGGAATGTCTAACCGGGAATCCGAACCGGGAATGCCCAGTGCGGAATGCCCAGCCGGGAAACCGAACCGGGAATGTCAGACCGGGAATGCCCAGCCGTGAATGCCAGACCGGAATCCGAACCGGGAATGTCGAACCGGGAATGCTGAACCGGGAATGCCCGAATCGGGAAGACCAGACCCGGAATCCGAACAAGGAATGCCCAGCCGGGAATGCCAGACCGGAATCCGAACCGGGAATGTCGAACCGGGAATGCTGAACCGGGAATGCCCGAATCGGGAAGACCAGACCCGGAATCCGAACAAGGAATGCCCAGCCGGGAATGCCAGACCGGAATCCGAACCGGGAATGTCGAACCGGGAATGCTGAACCGGGAATGCCCGAATCGGGAAGACCAGACCCGGAATCCGAACAAGGAATGCCCAGCCGGGAATGCCAGACCGGAATCCGAACCGGGAATGTTCTAACCGGGAATGCTGAACCGGGAATGCCCAGCCGGGAATGCTGAACCGGGAATGCCCAGCCGGGAATGCCGCCCTTCTGCCGGGAGCCCCCCAAAAAGTGACAGTGACAAAGCCGCGGGGATGTCACCCCCTGCCCTGAGCGCCACGGGTGACAGCGAGTGACCCCGCGGGGCTGGGGCAGCACGGCCAGCCCTGGGGACAGCCCTGGGGACAGCCCGGTCCCTGTCCCCTGTCCCTGTTCCCCGCCAGGCCGGTGACAGCGGCTCTGTCCTGCTCTAAAGCCACCGCAGACACCGCGGCCATGCCCGGGCCACCGGCTGGGGGGCGGCGACAGCGACACGGCCAGAGTGACACTGCCATCGAGGGGACAGCGACACGGCCAGAGTGACACTGCCATCGAGGGGACAGGGACACGGCCATGGAGTGACACTGCCATCGAGTGACACTGCCATCGGGGGGACATGGCCAGAGTGACACTGCCATGGAGGGGACACGGCCATCAAAGGGACACTGCCACTGAGGGGACACTGCCATGGAGGGTGACAGGGACAGTGCCATGGAGTGACACTGCCACGGAGGGGACACCGCCGTCACCCGGGCCGTGTCCCCCCAGCCGTGTCCTTCCTTGCCAGGGGACATCGCTGTGGCAAAGGCCACAGGGTTTCGCTAGGTGCCCTGCCTGGGGAGGTGACACCGGGGCCTGGCCACGTCCCTGGTGCCCAGAGGTGGCAGGGCCACCCCGCTGGTGTGGCACAGCGAGCAGGACACCCTGACCTGTGGCACCTGTCCCCACGGAGCCGTGGGTGACAGCTGTCCCCTGCGAGTGCCCTGGCAGCACGACGGGTCCCTGCAGGGCCATCAGACCCTGGTGGCATCGCACGTGTCCCCACGGACGCTCCACAGCGTGACACGTGTCCCCCGCCACCACACACCCCCGAGGGATGGCACCTGTCCCCAGCCACGTCCCCTCTGTGACCAGGGGCACCTGGCAGAGTGGCACCTGTCCCCACTCAACCACAGCCACCTCCATGGTGTGGCACCTGTCTCCACATAGCCACCCTGACAATGTGGCACTTGTCCCTGCACAGCCACGGTCACCTCAGTGTCCCCACGGCACCACAGCCACCCTGACAGCGTGTCACCTGTCCCCAGAGCACCACAGTCACCTCAGTGGTGTGGCACTTGTCCCTGCACAGCCACGGTCACCTCAGTGCAGTGGCACCTGTCCCCACGGGACCATGGCCACCCTGACAATGTGTCACCTGTCCCTGCACAACCACGGTCACCTCAGCGTGGCACCTGTCCCCACACAGCCCCCCCAGAGCAGATCCTGTCCCCATGTCCCCCCCCCGATGTCCCAGCACGTGGCCCTGTCCCCCCAAAGTGCGGTGACCCTGTTTTGGGGTGCAGAGGTGGCTCCCAGGTGACACCGCGGGGCCAGCTGAGGCAGTGTCCCCTCGATGGCAGTGTCCCTGTCCCCCCCATGGATGTCCCCAGCGGGGTTTTTGGGGAGCGGTTTCCCCCCCAAACCCACCAGGTCACCCCAAGGCGCGGGTGGTGACACGGAGGGGTGGGTGGTGACACTCTGGTGCCACCTCTCCGGCAGGACCCGCCCCCACCGGGGGTAACCGGGGACAAAACGGCGCACGAGCCACTTTCGGGGTGTCCCGGGGGGCTGTCCCCACCCAGGCCCCCCCTTGGGGACACCGCCAGCACCGGCAGCGGGTGTCCCCAAAACCCCAACCCCCCCCGGGGCGCTGTCCCCGCCCTGTCACCGCGCACCGGGCGGTGGCGCCGGCAGCGGGGGGGACACGCGGACCCCAAAACCCCTCCCGG